GGAGTTGATGTAGCTGCAGAATGTACATAACAAGAAGGCTCTGTATTTATTGGTGAAAAGCACATTATTGTTGGCATTTCATGTGCTTGGCCAAATGAAGCTACCACTGTTACACGTGTACATTTGATTCAATAAATACTTTATTCCGTTTGCAAAGGAGATTCAGCTGGGAAATGGATCTTGTTGGTTTGGATGGATTTTGGCGCTGTGCTTTGTGAAGGATAAGAGGACTTTGGAGAAGAGGTTTTACAAAAATGGTTCTAAAACTCAGAGCTCCATGGATTGTTTACAGACCTGCCTCCTCCGCCCTCTCAGGCAGCACATTCCATATTTCTACCGCCCTCTGGGTGAAAAAAAATTCCCTCAGATCTCCTCTAAACCACTTGCTCCTCACCTTAAGCCTGTGCCCACTGGTCTTAAATACATCTGCCACAGGGAAAAGATTCTCACCTACTCTGTCTATGCCTGTTGTAATTTTGTATACATTAATCAGATCCCCCCACAGCCTCCTGTGCTCCAGGGAAAACTGACCCAGCCTATCCAGTCTTTCCTCATAACTGAGACTTTCCATCCCAGGCAATATCCTGGTGAACCTCCTCTGCACCTTCTCCAGTGCAACCGTATCCTTCTTAAAGTGTGGTGACCAGAACTGCACACTGTATTCCCATGGCTTAACTAATGTTTTATAAATTTGTAACAAGCTTCCTTGCTCCTGTATACTTCGCTCTTGTTAATGAAGGCAAGTATCCCATACGCCCTCTTCACCACTCTGTCTACCTGTGCTGACATCCCCAGGACTCTATGGACTTGCACACCAAGGTTCCTTTGTTCCTCAGTACTCCCTGGGGATCTACCATTAATTGTGTACGTCCTACCCGTATGAGACCTCCCGAAATGCATCACCTCACGCTTATCAGGATTAAATTCCATCTGCCATTCTTCTGCCCAATTGGACAGCAAATCAATATCAGACTGTAGCCTGAGACCATCCTGCTCGTGAGCAACAACACCAATGTTCGCGTCATCTGCAAACTTAATAATTATACCTTCTACATTCATGTTGAAGTCGTTAATGTACATAACAAACAGCAAGCGTCCCAGCACTGATCCCTCTGGTACTCCACTGGTCACAGGCTTCCAATCACAAAATCAATCCTCTACCTTTTGCCTCCTATTTGTAAACCAGATTTGGGATCCAGTTTGCCAACTTGCCTTGGATCCCATGGGATCCCACCTTTTGGTGCAGCCTTCCATGTGGGATTTTGCCAAAGTCTATGTAGATCGTATCAACTGTACTACCCTCATCAACGTATTTAGTCACCTTTTCAAAACACTCAATTAAATTAATCAGACAAGACCTCCCTGTAACAAACCCGTGCTGACCACCCCTGATCAATTCCTCCCTATCTGAGTGTTGATTGATCCTGTCTCTCAGAATTTTTTTCCAATAATTTCCCTGCCACTGACATCGGCCTGTCTGGGGTCTGTAATTACCTGGTCTGTCCCTGTTGTCCTTCCTGAACAAAGGAACCCCATTAGCCATCCTCCTGTCATCTGGCACTTCACCGACGGCCAGCAAAGTATAAAATATATCCACCAGGGCCTCAGCAGCCTGGGAGTCATTTCATCAGGCCCTGGGGATTTATGCACTGTATGCCTATTAAAATGTCAAATTCCACCTCTTTGTTAATCCTAATGCATTCTAGAACCTCACTATCCCAATTGAAATCCCTGGCCACAATGTCTTTCTCCTTGAAATCCAGGGTTCCCTGAACTTGCCACCCTTGCCCTTCACTGTAGAGTCCTGAATTCTCACTGTACTACTTCTGAAAGAACATATGAATTAAGAGCAGGGGTAGGACACTTGGCCCCTCGAGCCTGCTACCTTGCTCAATAAGGTCATGGTGGCTCAGTGGTTAGCACTGCTGCCTCCCAGTGTTAGGGACCCAGGTTCAGTGACTGCCTGTGTGCGTATGCCAATGTTTTATTTTTCTTTCGGCTTTATTCATATTTCAATTTTTCTAGATTCTTTCCATGAATTTAAATCAAAAACTCTTTCTTTTAGACAGAGAAAACAAAAAAGGCAAAAAGGCAGCCATCCCCCGGGCCTGTGTCAAGTGTGACGTCCACTCTCAGAAGATCTCAGTCTCCCGCAAACATGTCCAAGAGGTCATCGTCACCTGCTGTGAAGTGAGTGATCATGTTAACTGTCCAAAAGTCAACAGGTGACTTAGTTCAGAGCTAGCATCCCCGCCGGGAGGCAAAGGTTTATGGGCTTGGATACCGGCAAGAGGAGCATGAGTAACCATTTGGCCCAACAAGCCTGTTCTAACACTCAACATGAGCATCAACTCCTCTTTCCTATCCACTCACCAAGAGACCAAAAATCTACCTTTCCCAGTATTAAATACGGAGCTCCTCTGAGATTGAGAATTCCAACGTGTCACAGCCATTTCAGTGAAGAAATGTCTCCTTGTCTCAGCCCTAAATGATCATCATCTTATCCTGGATTTCCCCAACCAAAGGACAGCAGTCGCTCATTACCCACCCTTCAGACTCTTGTAGACCATCTCATTCTTCTAAACTCCAGGGAGTATCAGCTCAATTTACTCATCATAGGCAATTGTCTCCTCTCCCATTCTTGTAACCGTTCGCTGTGCTGCCAAATTAACATTACAGTCTGGCTTGTGACCAATAGCTTTTACTTTTTAATGTCAACAAAGTGTGAGATCCAAAAGACTCACTAAGTCAACAAAGCCATAAGTTTGATTTTGTACAAACAAGAAACTGTTCTAAAAACATTATCACACTAATACAATCTAGAAATATATGTACAACTCTTTTTTATTTATTTGTGGGATGTGGGAGTTGCTGGCTGGCTCAGCATTTCTTGCCTATCTCTAGTTGTCCCCTTGAGAAGGTGGTGGTGAGCTGCCTTCTTGAACTGCTGCAGTCCACCAGCTGTAGGTTGACCCACAATGCCCTTAGCACTGCACCCTCACAGCGCCAGGGACCCAGATTCAATTCCACCCTCGGGTGACCGTCTGTGGAGTTTGCACATTCTACCCGTGTCTGCGTGGGTTTCCTCCCACAGTCCAAAGATGTTCAGGTTAGGCGGATTGGCCATGCTAAATTGCCCATAGAGTCCATGGTAGAAAATGCGGGGATGGGATAGGGGGTGGATTTGGGTGGGATGGTCTTCTGAGGGCTGGTGTTGACTCGACGGGCCGAATGTCCTGCTTCCAGATTTGTAGGGAATCTATGAACATCCAGAATCAATTTGGGCTAAATGTGGGGAGCAGGCAGTGATTAAATGGCACTATTCAAATAGCAAATATAGTCAAGCCACATCACGTGTGTTACTCCATAATTGGCCCCTTGATGCTCCTTCCCAAGAGCCTCCATGTTGTGGACTGCCTCAACGACCTTTCCCATTCTGGTAAACCATCCTGCCTTCCTGGGTCTATACCCCCCTGGACTCTGAAGTACGCTCGAGTCCTAATTTATAGGCATAAACCCAGCTTTTCACTGACAGCTAACTTTGCCAAACTAAAACTGGGATTTCCCCTGAGCTCCAGTCTTGGCCAGTTACATCAAATAATGCTACCTGTGTGTTTCTCAGACTCCACTTTAGCAACTGCTCTAATTAGTTAATACCAGCTTTTTCCTTGACTCTCACGGCTTCTCCCAACATAAAACCTTGAGGACATGACCAAGAAGATAGATGAGGGTAGACTGGTGAATGTTGTCTACATGGACTTTAGCAAGGCCTTTGACAAGATTCCGCATGGTAGACTGGTTGGTAAAGTTGGATCACATGGGATTCAGGGAGAGCTAGCCAATTGGAAACAAAATTGGTTTGACGGTAAGAGACAGAAGGTGGTGATAGAGGGTTTTTCGGTCTGGAGTCCTGGATTCAGCACGGTGCTGGAAGTATCAGTGCTGGGTCCATTGTTGTTTGTCACTTATATAAATGATTTGGATGAGAATATCGGAAACGTGGTTATTAAGTTTACAGATGACACCAAAATTGATGATATACTGGTCAGATTATCTAAGATTACAGTGAGATTCAGATCAACTGGGCCAGTGGGCCAAGGAGTGGCAGATGGAGTTTAATTTTGATAAATGCAAGGTGTTCCATTTTGCTAAGACAGACGAGGGCAGGGCTTACACAGCTCATGGTAGGGCCCTAGGGAGTGTTATCGAACAGAGACCTAGGGGTTCAGATGCATAGTTCCTTGAAAGTGGTGTCACGGGTAGACAGGATGGCAAAGAAGGCATTTAGCATGCTTGCCTTCATTGGTCAGTGCATTGAATATAGGAGTTGGGACGTCATGTTACAGCTGTACAGGACATTGATGAGGCCTCTTTTGTGTACAGTTCTGGTTGCCCTGCTGTAGGAAGGATAAAATTGGAAAGGGTGCAGCAAAGATTTACAAGAATGTTACCAGGACTAGAGGGTTTGAGTTATAAAGAAGGCTGAATAGGCTGGGACTTTTTTCCCTGGACTGTAGGAGGTTGAGAGGTGAACTTATAGAGGTTTATAAAACCATGAGGGGGTATAGATAGAGTGAATAGCAAAAGGTCTTTTTCTGTAGGATAGGGGAGTCCAAAACTAGAGCGCATAGGTTTAAGGTGAGAGGGGAAAGATTTAAAAGGGACCTGAGGGGCAACTTTTTTACACAGGAGGTGGTGGGTGTATGGAACGAGCTGTCAAAGGAAGTGGTGGTGGCTGGTACAATGACAACATTTAAAAGACAGGTACATGATGGGAAGGGTTCAGAGGGATATGGGCCAAATGCAGGCAAATGGGACTCGTACAGTTTCAGAAACGTGGTAGGCATGGACATGTTGGACTGAAGGGTCTGCTTCCGTGTTGTATGACTCTACCACATTCCATCTTCCTCAGGTCGTAGGGATTTCTTCTGAGTCCTGAGTCCTACACTGAGCTGCCTATTAATTCCTAAAGCCTCCTCCAGAATTCTAATAATGCAGAGCCATTCAGATGTTCTGGACTCCTCATTGAGTTTCCTACATAGCATCGATGTGGTTCAATTGCCTTCCCAGTGGAACAATACAGTTTGTAAGTTGCATACAACAAGTTGGAGAGATGTCTAACGCATCTGGGGCTGAATTCCCACTAAAAGTGCCCTCAGTACGCACTGTTTTCTTCTTTAGGGAGCAGGCAGGGATGGGATACCGTCCTTGGAAACAGAGTGTGGTGGCAATGGAAGTGTGGAGCTTCCGAAGTTGGATGGTTGGATGGCTCTCCTCAGTTCCCTGGGACTGTGTTACACCATTTTCTTTTAGAAGCGGTGAAGCCCTTTAGACTTCAGCTCTCACACCCCTACCATCTGTGTCCCCCTCAGAGCACCCATGCCAGGATGTGTTTGCAATCCAAATCAACCAGCCCTGCACCTGCTTTCCCACTATTCCCATCCCATAGTCACTCAGTCAGTATTCCCCATAGGGAAGTGTCAGGAGCCGCATGGAAATGGAAAAAATATAATGAAATTTGAACACTCTGACATAGCCCCTTTATACACACCTGACAACAGAATAAAATCCATTCAAAGCATTTAAGTAGTCAATCGATAATAAAACCAGACTTATATTCTGAACCAACATTAGACACAGTTAATGCTTTAATAGCTGATTTAAACTATCACTCAAACTGGAAATTCAGAACCCCTACCTGGAATTACAGTTTTTGAAACCCACCCAAGCATTCATAATCAATTCACTATAGCCCTTGGGGAAATATCAACAAAGGCTGGTATCGAAATGAGAATGTGCTCGTGTTTCTGCACCAGATGGCCAGGCAATCAAAGCAGGGGATTTTGTTTTTATTCTCACGGCTTCAGACTTTTGTAAATATTTAAAGAAACATAAGATCCTTACAGCGCAAATACAGAGGCTGTTCAGCCCATCAAGTCTGCATCAATCCTCCCAAGAGCATCCTACCCACCTATCCTAACCCCATATTTCCCATGGCCAACCCACCTAGCCTGCACATTTCTGGACACTATGGGAAATTTAGCATGGCCAATCCATCAAACCTACATATCTTTGGTCTATGGGAGGGGACTGGAGCAAACCCACACAGACACAGGGAGAACATGCAAACTCCACAGAGACAGTTGCCCAAAGGTGGAATTGAACCTGGGTCCCTGGTGCTGTGAGGCAGCAGCGCTAACCACTGTGCCACTACCACCCAACAAATCAATATTTAAAGAAACTCTTCAGACCTTGACACATAAAACAGATCTTGTCTGCCCATTAAGATTGTTTACATCCACTCCTTCAATCCGTGGTTGCCACATTGTGCAGTAAGTGCCCTGCAACAGTCAAAATAGGGTCTGTTTGAACTCAGGACCATTGGAAATGAGTTTTAAGTTCAGGTTTCCTGTGTGAGTGGACCATACCCACCCTCTCCCCCACCAGCAAGGAGTGGACCTATCAGAATTGCAGGCAGGAATTTTGCATTGCGGAGCCCACGCTGCATTTTTAAAGCTCAGGCCAAGTTTTCCCAACTCTGAGAACTTTGGTCTCCAGTGTTCCAATCCCATAAACCATGGATTGCTGTAGAATCTCCCAGTGCACTGTCTAGACATTGAAGCTCCTTCTGAAGACTAGTCGCAGTTGTAATGTAAGAAACACATCAGGCGAATTGTACACAGCAAGCTCCCATAAACAGCAACGCGGAAGTGATCACATCACCTTTTAGTTTGTGGTAACATAATTATTGATGAAGACAAGTGGGGGCCTTCTCTGAAGTAAAACAGTGGGGCAGTTACACTCATCTTACGGTGGAACATCTTATGTGAAAGTCTGTGCCTCTAACAGTGCAGCACTCCCTCAGTACTGCATTGGTATGTCCCATTACTGGATTGAGATTTGAACCCTCTTAATTCAGGAACTACAGTGCTACAAACTGAACCACCATAACAATATAAATATATTACTGAATTAAAATAAAACATTCTGTTAAACTTTTCACCTTGGACTGATCAGAACAATTCACCAGATGAAGTAGACTCATTGAGTCATACAGCACTGAAACAGACCTTTCAGTCCAACTGGTCCATACCGACCATAATGCCAAACTAAACTGGTCCCACTTGCCTGCGCTTGGACCATATCCCTCCAAATCTTTCCTATTCAAGTACTTATCCAAATGTCTTTTAAATGTTGTAATTGTACCCGCATCCATCACTTCCTCCGGAAGTTCATTCCACACACGAACCACTCTCTGTGTAAAAATGTTGCCCCTCGTGTTCTTTATAAAACTTTCTCCTGTCACTTTAAAAATGTGTCCCTTACTTTTAAATTCCCCCACCCTAGGGAAAAGACCCTTGCTATTCACCTCATCTATGCCCCTCATGATTTTATTAACCTCAATATGTTCGCCCCTCAACCTCCTACACTCCAGTGGAAAAAGTCCCACCTTCTCCTTATGACTCAAACTCTCCATTTCTGTCAACATCCTGGTAAATCTCTTCTGCACCCTCTCCATTTAATAATATCCTTCCTATAACAGGGCAACCAGAACTACATACAGTACTCCAGAAGAGACCTCGCCAATGTCCTGTACAACCTAAACATGACATCCTAACTCCTGTACTCAAAGATCTGAACAATGAAGGCAAGCGTGCTAAACGCCTTCTTAACCACCCTGTCTACATGTGGCATAAATTTCAAAGAATTATGTACCTGAACCCCTAGGTTTCTCTGTTCTACAACATTATTCAGGGCCCTACCATTAATTGTATAAGTCCTGCCCTTGTTTGTTTTACCAAAATGGAATACTTTGCATTTATCCAAATTAAACTCCATCTGCCACTCCTCAGCCATTGACCCAATTGATCAAGATCTCTTTGCCATCTTAGATAATCTTCTTCATTGTTCATCATGCAACCAGTTTTGGTGTCATCCACAAACTTGCTAACCATGCCTTCTATATTCTCATCTAAATTATTTATATAAATATGACAAACGAAAGTGCACCCAGTACCGATCCCTGTGGAACACCACTGGTCACAGGCCTCCAGACCCAGACCAACAAACAACCCTCCACCACCACTCTCTGTTTCCAACTGGCAAGCCAATTTTGTGTCCAATTGGCAAGCTGTCCCTGAATGCCATCTGATCTAACTTTACAAATCAGTCTACCATGTGGAACCTTGTCAAAGGCCTTACTGAAGTCCATGTAAACAACGTCTACTGCTCTGCTCTCATCAATCTTTTCTTTTGGTTGCTTCCTCAAAAAACTCAATCAAGTTTGTGAGACACAAATTCCCTCACACAAAACCATGCCGACAATCCCTAATCAGTCCTTGCCTCTCCAAATACATGTAACTCCTACCTTTCAGAATCACTTGCAACAACGTGCCCACCACAAATGTCAGGTGTAAACAGAATACAAAATTTATGGGTCATGAGAAGGCAGTGCTCATTGGTTGCCAAGTTGGTCCTGTTTGGTAGACCTTTTGCTATGGATATTGCACCAGTTGATGACACCTGACAGTTAACTGCCAGGTTTTGACTAACACGGTATATGAATTTCATTGATGGTCTGATATCGGTGGTATGTCATAAAGAGTGGCAGCAAATTCTTTGGCTGTTTGCAATGAGCAAGGTACTGACTACGCCTAAGCAGCTCACATTTGAAAAACTCCCATCAAAAGTGTCCAGTACCAGAGATGATTCTGCAAATGGTCAGCATTTGCTACATAACCCTGAGTGTGCAAAGATTTATGGTGATGATAAATTTAGGATTGTCCATTGAGCTCATAGCCTGACACACTCCTGTGCAGGAGAAGGTAGATACTTTAATGCACGAGATCCTATTCTTTCCAGACTGAAAGAACAAATGTTCCACCTGTTTCAATGTGACAAAATAATTTGCAGCCATTGTCTACTTCATTTCTCAGAGCAATGCCTTGACCGACCTGCCTAGTTTACAATATAAACACCATTGGACAATTAACTGCCAGTCATCATAAACTGGTGCATTCTCAATGGCTGTACCAATCAGAGTCCACTTGCCAACCAGTCAATGCTATCCTTTCGTGCAATGTAAATGTTATTTTTACTTTACTTTGGTATTCTTATGAAATGTCCTGATGGGTGAAAGATGAAAAATTGGACAAAATATGTCTCTTTTGCAGCCACACTTTTGCAGCCCAAACAACTATTGGTATAAATCTGAAAATCTGAAAAGGATGGGCTAAGTTTTTGTTAGTTTCTCGAGAAAGACTGAACACAGCAGCAACACAAGTACAAAACGCATGAAGTATGTGTCATGGTTCAACAAGTGTGTGGAATGTTTTTTGCTGACTGTCCTGCAGGGCCAACTCAAAGATTCGAACGCGCTCTCCCAGCTCCAGCAAAGAGCTTCCGCCATCTCCCACTTCCAGCAGCAAGTCTTCGCCCATGAAAAGACGACCGTCTTCTCATAACACTGCAGAAAGTAAAAAAAAGACCAAAGACAAGGGAGAGCTGGTGCGGCAGAAGTCGGAGGACACTACAGGGAACAACGCTAAATCCCCAGAGCTGGCAGAAAGCGAGACTCCAGTGACTACACCAGTCAAGGAGCATGACCGGAAGAAAGCAGCTCTAGCTGAAGGTGATTACAGCAACAGCTTGCATTCACCTAGCCCCTTTAGAGCCATAAAACATCTCTGGATGCTTCGCCAGAGCACCAGTTTGACGTGCGTCACATAAGGAGATCCAGTAGCCTAAGGACTAGAGTCAAAGCTTCAGGACAAAGGGTCAACAATTTGGGACTGAGATGAGGAGAAATGGAACCATCTACCCCACGGGGCTGTGGGGGGCACTGTGGTGCTGAACGTATTGCAGGCTAAGACCGATTGATTTATTTTTCCTGTCTGAGGGAATCGAGGGAAATAGAGCAGGCAGGAAAGTGCAGTTGAGAGCACAAGTTGAGTTTGAATTGAGCAGGCTTGATGAGCCTAATGATCAATTTAGAGGTGCAGAAACTGAAATTTGAGTTCACTAAAAGTCTGGAATTAAAAAAGCTGATCAAATGGTGACCACTGCTGATTGTTGTAAAGACCCATCTGGTACACTAATGTCCTTTAGGGAGAGGAAATCCACCATGTTTACCTGGTCTGGCCTAGACACGACTCCAGACCCATAGCAATGTGACTCTTAACTGCCCTCTGGGCAGTTAGAGATGGGCAATAAATGCTGGTGTAGACAGCAATGCCGATGTCTCATGGCGGAATCAAGAAAGGAAGCCATTTGGCCCATTGTGTCCACACTGGCCTCTAGAGACCTGACAACACAAAGCCCATTTTACAGCTTTTGGCCCATAGCTCTTGGAGGTTACAGCACAACGAGTGAATATTCAAATATTGCTTAAGTTTTATGAGAGTTTCTCATTCGAATCACTCTTTCAGATAGCGAGTTCCAGACTCTCAGCATTCCCTGGGCCAAAGTAAACTCTACTCAACTCCACTCTTAGCCCACTATCTCTTATTTTATATCTGTGCTACTTGGATAATGCCCCGTCTTCTCATGCTTCAGCTCCTGTTTCCTATGTTTCTATGAATCAAAGCACCAAAGAGTATAATGGCACGGTTTTTGTCTATGTCTGAGCCCCAGTCCCAAGTTTGAGAACATGCTGTCAGAAAAATTACTCTCTTTCAGTTCAAGGACTTCAGATTGGCGTAAAAGCCCGTTCTCGTTCCCTGTTAGGGAAGGATATCTACTGTCCTTAACCAGTCTGGCTGAGATGTAACTGCCCTCTGTCACAACCTTAACAAGCCTGAGGCTGGGCAATTGGGAGAAAAGGGCAGCTGGAAGAACAGCAAACATAAAGAGAGCTGTGATATTTTATCTGTTTTACCACTGCAAGGCTGTTTTTTGTTTGTTTCCCCGACCCCCTTTTCCTGTATTTTACTCCTTATCCATTGATGTGGGATTATTAGCATCCCATGGCACCTTGGCGTCCTGCTCAGCTTGTGACTGATCTGTGATAAGAATATAAGCATGAGGAGCAGAAAAAGGCCACTCAGCCCATGTGGTTTGCTGCACCATTAAGAATGAGAATATAGCCAATTGAGTGCCTCAATGCCATTTTCCTGACTATTCCCATACCTCTTGAAGTTTTAAATATGTAGAAATCTATCTCGAATATCCTAAATCCGGGAAAGAAAATTCCTGTAGAATCTCTGTCCTCGGAGGGAAGAAATTCCTTATTGTTACGATAAGGGCTGCATGGTGGCTCAGTGGCTAGCACTACTGCTTCACAGCAGCAGGGCCCCAGGTTCAATTCCAGCCTTGGGCAACTGTCTGTGTGGAGTCTGCACATTCTCCCCAGGTCTGTGTGGGTTTCCTCTAGGTGCTCCAGTTTCCTCCCACAGTCCAAAGATGTGCAGGTTAGGGTGGATTGGCCATGCTAAATTGCCCACAGTGTTCAGGGATGTACAGGCTTAGGTGGGTTTGTCATGGGAAATGCAAGGGTTACAGGGATGGTATGGGTCTGGTGGGATGCTCTTCAGAGGGTTAGGGTGGACTCAATGGGCTGAATGGCCTGCCCCCACACTGTGGGGATTCTATAATTCTAAATCTGAGCCTATTCTGTTTGTTCCAGTTACCCGTGCCGGGGGTACAGGCAAGGTGATAGAACGTGCTGTTTTGTTATTGCTGCCATGTTGAACTCGATACCATTCTATTTGTCCAGTTGCGCGGTTTCGCCAGCACCATAGGCTGTTGTGCTGAGTAGCAGCACGCCTCCGACTGACCGACCCGCCTCTTGGTGCTTCCCCCTTTCAGACGCGTCCTCTACAAAGACCACCGCGGGGACGACGAACCCGGAGGCAGCGGCGAAGCTGCTAGCAGAAAGGCGGAGGTACATCCGGCTGCAGAAGGAGCTGGAGGAGAAGGAGCGGCTGGAGCAAGAGGAAGCAGAAAGGTAATGGGCTGGCCTACACAATGTTCGTAACCGGGCTCCACTCACTGAAGCACACGGAACAGTGGCACAGTGGTTAGCACTGCTGCCTCACAGTGCCAGGGACATGGGTTCGATTCCAGCCTTGGGAATCTGTCTGTGTGGAGTTTGCACGTTCTCCCCGTGCCTGCGTGGGTTTCCTCCGGGTGCTCTGGTTTCCTCGGTCCAAAGATGTGCAGGATAGATGGATTGGCCATTCCAAATTGCCCACTAGTGGATGTGCAGCTAGGTGGATTAGACATGCGAGTTGCAGGGATAGGATAGGGAGGTGGATCTGGGTGGGATGCTTTTCAGAAGATTAATTGTGGATTTGATGGCCCAAAATGGCCTGCTTCCATACTGTAGGGATTCTTTGAATGCTGGAGCTGCTAAGCAGTTCTGGCAGCATCTGTGGAGGGAGAGGTGAAAGGGAATAAATTAAGGTGTGAAAGGGAGAGAATGGGTCCTTTCTACTTAGAGCAAAGTGCAGAAGGCGCAAACAAGGCTGTTATGGGGTGGGGAGAGGGGAGAGAAGGAAAGAAAAATGGAAACACAATGCAGTCAGTTCCTGAAGTTATTGAATTCAGTATTGACACTTCGAGGCTGTGAAGAGTCTAAGTGGAAAATGAGATGTCTAAAGAATCAGATGATGAGTAACACCAGGCTGGAAACGTTTTCTCTGCCCACAGATGCTGCCAGATGTGTTGAGTTTCTTCAGCATTCCCTGTGCTTGTTTCAGATTTGCAGTATTTTGCCTTTATTCGAGTGATGAAAGTTATATGTTCCCTGACTACATTCCATTACTATACAACAACATTTGATTGTTCACCTCTGATGTTACAAAACGTTACCAAACCAGATATGACGCTTTGCTGGAGCTAATAACCAAACCTTTGCTCAAAGAACGCAGTTATTAGGAATGCCTTAAACGAGGGTGGGAGATGTTTAAGGTGGTGATTCTGTACTCCTCAGGCAGCTGAAGGCATGGACTCTAATGTGATTATTATCAGAGCTTCTCAAGAGGCCAGATGCAGAAGAGCACAGAGGTTTGGGAGGGTGGTAGGTCACAGAGGTAGGGAGCAGGGAGTGGCCACATTGTGATTTGAACATAAAGATAGGAAATTTTCAAATGGACCAGGAACCACCGTAGGTCAGCAAGCTTGGATGGAGCCATTCTGAGTTAGTCAGGGGCCAGAGGACGGGGTGTTTCAGAGTCCAGAGATAGCAAATTACGGACAAAGACTTGACTTTAATTGCCCCACCCAAAAGAGCAGAAAGACAGGGCTGGATGGAGGCAGGGAACTGGGGTCCTCTCTGCGTTCTGAAGCTCATCCCCAAAACGAAGGTGAAGTAGGTATGACGGAGTCACTTCATTCGGGTTTGATGGCAATTGGAGGGATGTTGGGGCAGATTCAGGCTGTCGCGGGGTGCAGTAAACCTCCAGTTGGAAGAAATGCTAAGTTGGGACTTCTCACACGTGACCCAATATAGCAACGCTGAGAACCGTTTGAAATGTTTTGGACTTTTCCTAGTGATGGGCTGTGGGTATCACTGATAAGGCCCAGCATTTATCACCCATCCCAAACTGCCTTGCCTGGCCATTTCAGAGGGCTGTTAAGAGTCAGCCACATTGCTGTGGGTCTGGAGTCACATGTAGGCCAGATCAGGTAAGGATGGCAGATTTCCTTCCCTAAAGGACATTAGTGAGGCAGATGCGTTTCTCCAACACCTGATGATAGTTTCATAATCACTGTTTTGGAGTCATACAGCCTGGAAACAGACCCTTCGGCCCAACTCGTCCATGCCGACCAGGTATCCTAAGCTGAACTAGTCCCATTTGCCTGTGTTTGGCCCATATCTTCCTATCCATGTGCCTATCCAGATGCCTTTTAAATGTTGTAATTGTCCTCACCTCTACCACTTCCTCTGGCAGCTCGTTCCATACTCCCACCACCCTCAGCATGGAAAATGTTGTCCCTCAGGTCCCTTTTAATTGTGATTTTTTTTGGTAATAGTGATCATAACAACGATCAGCCATTGTCATAAATGTTTATTTAATTCACTAAGGATGGCCTTCCTTACACATAACTGCAGACCCATAGCAATGTGTGTGAGTCTTAGCTACCCTCGGTAATGGCTGAGTAAAACACTTTGGTCATGGGCAGTTAGGGTTGGTCTATAAATTCCTGTCCTACCAGTGGCACCCACATGCCATGAAAGAAAGAAAGAATTGATGGCATCCATTAGGACTAGCAATGTACCCAGACGGACAAACCAGTAACCATTGGAGATGAACATACGGATCCTCTGTTTTGAGGTCTACATGAAGAGTCAGACTAGTGTGCCCCATTCAGCAATTTTACTGGTTGTTCCTTTTGAGTTTATAGGTGATTGAGTGAATTCCATCATTTTGGGAAAAGGCAGATGTAGTTTCTGAGTAAATCTGGTTGTCGCTACAGGAAACGTCAGGAAGAGCTGCAGAGAAGGGAAGCTGAAGAGAAAGCTCACCGTGAGGAAGAGGCACGAAAACTCGAGGAACAGCGAAGACAGCAGGAGCTGGAGCGCCAGAGGAAGGCAGAAGAGGAAAGAATCCTCCAGGAACAACAGGAGAGAGAACTTCTGGCCAGACTGGAGCAGCAGGTTAGGGGTTATGTGTGTGTTTGCTCTGTCCTCAGCACTGCTATCCTCAGTCTGCAGCCCATCCAAAGGATGCAGTGATCCTTCACAAGGTTCTGGGAGCAGGCGAACACTGTAATGTCACAGCTTATCACACACTGCTGTAATGATCCAAGAACAAAGAACTATACACCACAGGAACAGGCCTTTCGGCCCACCAAGCCTGTGCCAACACATGACACCTTTCTAAACTTAAAACTTTGTGCTTCTATGGAGTCTGTATCCATCTATTCCCCATCTATTCATGTACCTCTCAAGATGCCTGTTAAACGTTGCTATTGTATCTGCCTCCACCACCTTCTCTGACAGCGCATTCCAGGCACTGGCTACCCCTGTGTAAAAAAAATTTGCTTCTCATATCTTCTTGGAGTTTCCTTCTTTTACCATAAACCTATGTCCCCTAATAATTGGCATTTCTACCCTGGGACAAAAAAAGACTCTGACTATCCATTCTATCCTGCCTCACATTATTTTGTAAACTTCTATCAGATCTCCCCTCATTCTCTGGCGTTCAAGTGAAAACAAACCAAGTTTGTCCAACCTCTCCTCATAGCTAATAGCCTCCAAACCAGGCAACCTCCTGGTAAACCGTTTCTGTACCCTCTCCAAAGCTTCCACATCCTTCTGGTAATGTAGTGACCAGAACTGTACGCGATATTCCAAATGTGTCCTAACTGAAGTTCTATGCAGCTTCAACATGACTTGGCAATTTTTATTCTCTATGTCCCGACTGATGAAGCAAGCATGCCATATGTTTTCTTGACCACCTTATCTGCTTGTTGTCACGTATAGGGAATTGTGCACCTGTACACCTGCATCTCTCTGTATGTTAATGCTACTGAGGACCCTGCCATTTACTGTACACTTCCCTCCTGCATTAGACCTTCCAAAATGCATCACCTCGCATTTGTCTGGATTAAACTCCATCTGCCATTTCTCTGCTCAAGTCTCCAGGTTATCTATATCCTGCTTGTATCCTTTGGCAATCCACCTCACGATCTGCAGCTCCCCCACTCTTTCTGTCATCCGCAAACTTATGAATCAGACCACCCGCATTCTCTATCCAAATCATTTACAACAGGGGTCCCAGGTCCTGGGAACACTGCAGAGAACAGAACACTATTCTGTCAGTGGAATGTCTTCTGGGGTTTATATTCCATTGTTACGTTACTGGGATAATAATCCAGGCAGCTAATGTTGGAAAACCGTCACAGTGATTTTGAGAGTTTGATATCAGTAAAAATTGTTGCGTTTTTCTAAAATCACAGCTCAGTCTTGAATGTGTTTTCCAGGAAGGGATTATTACCCAGTATTGCCTGGATACTAACCCAGTATAGGCAGTTAGCTTGGTGTCTGTCAGAATTTTACAAAGGGTATAATTAGCTCAGTATTTAGAAATATGATCAAGCAGAGTCATGAGGGTAAATGATGCCTGACAAATTGATTAGAATTCTTTGAGGAGGTGACAATTAGGATAGAGAAAGGAGAAGTGGTGGATGTAATACATTTGGGAGTTCAGAAGGGGGTTTGATTAGGTACTGTGCATTCGACTGCTGAATAAGTGTTGGAGGTAGCATTTAAGCATGGATACAGGATTGCCTAACTAATAGAAGACAGAGATTTGGAATGAGGGAAATATTTTCAGGATGGCGATCTGTAACTATGGAGTACCCCAGGGATCAGTGCTGGGGTCACAGTTATTAACAGTAGATATTAATGACTTGGACAAGGAAAGTGAATGCATTATAGCCTAGTTTGCAGAGTGACACAACAGTAGGTGGGAAGGCAAGTGGTGAGAATGACATGAGGATGCTGTAGAGGGATATAGACCGGTTCAGCGAGGAGCCAAAATATTGAGAGATGGAATGTAATTTGGGAAAATGTGAGGTGAAGTATAGAGGAGCTAAATATTATTTAAACAGAGAAGGACTGCAGAAAGCTGCAGTAAAGCATGGTTTGGGAGTTCTCTTCTGTGAATCACAAAAAGCTGACATACAGGCTCAATGGGTATAGGGAAGGATAATGAAATATTGGCCCTTGTTTCAAAGGGAATGGAGTGTAAAAGCAAGGTTTTGCTAAAATTACACAATGCACTAGTCAAACCACAGCTGGAGTACTTGGAACAATTTTGAACCCTTTACCTAAGGAAAGATATACTGGCATTGGAAGCAGTCCAGAGAAGGTTCACTAGGTTGATCCTGTGTTTGGAGGGACTGTCCAATAGGAGTCATAGAGTCCTACAGCACAGAGACAGGCCCTTTGGCCCAAACTGGTCCATACCAATCAAAATGTCTATCCACGCTAACCCCATTTCCCTGCACTTCGCCCATATCCTTCTAAACCTTTCCTATCCATGTATTCGTCCAAATGCCTTTTAAATGTTGTTAATGTACCCACCTCAACCACTTCCACTGGCAGCTCATTCGACACCCTGTGTAAAAAAGTTGTCCCTCAGGTTCCCATGTATTCTTTCCCCTCTTACCTTAAACTGATGCCCTCTAGTCCTCAATTCCCTAACCCTGGGACAAAGACTGAGTGCATTCATCCTATCCATGCCTCTCATGATTTTTTACACCTCTATAAGATCCCCCTTCAGTCTCCTACGTTCTAAAGAAAAAAGTCTTGGCTTGTCCATCCTCTCCCTATAACTCAGTCCCTGGAGTCCTGGCAGCATCTTTGTAAATTTCTTCTGCAGTCCCCCATTGACACCCATCTATTTGGCCCACCTCATCCATGAGAACCAGGTCTAGCAGTGCCTCCTTTCTTGTTGCACTGGACACATATTGCTGCAGAAAACTTGCCAGAATCTCTTGGCCCTCTCCATCCTTTACACTGCTACCATCCTGGTCTATACTTGGATAATTAAAGTCCCTCGTTATAATGGCACATTGTGCAAAATATTGCACTTTTCACATTGTTTAAAAAAAACAACAGTAATGGAGACTGCCAATCTCTGCGATATTCCCGTGACAACACCCTGACCAATCTGAGTCTACCAGCCAGCTCTGAGAACTGAGATTGACAGTTAACTGACCTTGCTTCATCTTCATGCCAACAGTGACCCAACCATTCAGCACCCTCTTCTCAGTCTGTATAAATTGGTGTGCCCTTTCTTCAAGTCTGTTTCTTGCCTCCTTGTCCTGATGAGCATAAGACAAAACAAAAACTCCAACTTCCCTTCTTTTTGAAATAGACGTGTTTTCTGATTTCACTTCTGAATGACTCCAATTTTAAAATGGTGCTGTCTTCTTCTGGATTCTGCTTCCCAGAATGAATATCTCTATTAACCTGCAAAACCCGATAATTACTCTAAAACACTAAGTCACCCTTAAGCTCAACAGAATATAAGTTTAGGCAACCTGAAGTTAAGTCCCGTAATTTAATTATATAAATCCAGTCATAAACTCTCTGGATCAGCCAGTTTTCTTTCTCTAACCATACGTATACATAACATTAGTAGGCCTCTCCATTAACCCATAGAAATGCACAGAAAGGGGCCACTTGGCCCATCCTTTCCATGCTGAGCCAAAGACACCAAACTCAAACACCCTCGACTCACCTGCTCCGCTGTACCCCACCACTCTGTACTACCCACATATACCCACATAGTTCCATTGGTCTCTGTGTGTTGAACATGCTCCGTGACTGAACTTCCTCAGCCCCCGGCCTAGAGAATTCCAAAGGTCCATTGGCTCCCCCACTCCGGATGACGGATTGCCTCCCAATCTCAGCCCAAAATAGTTGACCCCCCCGCCCCTTGATCTGAAGCTGTATCCCTCTAGTTTTGATCCCCCTGACAGAGCAGTTCCTTGACCATTGACACACACTATGACATATTTCAGATCTGGGAGAAGCTGGCTGGTTGGCTGCAGTTTCGTTTACCATATTGTTGTAAGAGAGTGAGAATCTAGCCCGAGTTCCCATCAGGAACATCTCAAACTTAAGTGCTACATCATTTTCATGGTTCCAATAGGTATTCAGCAGTCATCAGAGTTGAACAGCAGCTCCCTACATGTTGAAGGTAATCAGACTCAGAAGAAATTGTAATTAGACATTGACTGTCGCCACTTAAAGAACAAAATCTCTTTCCAGAATTGGCTTGGCCAAGGCGAGACAAAGTTTACTTTGTGGCCGTGTTTGTAATTTATGCCTGTACCCTGTGTTTCTGTCTCTCGTCAGCGAGAAGAAGCTGAAACCAAGGCTCGAGAGGCAGCAGAGAGACAGCGATTAGAACGGGAAAAGATCATCCACCAGATCGAGCTGGAGCGAATGGAGCGAAAGAAGGTTAGCTCACAGAGTTAGGTCGGTGCATGGAGGGAGGTGGGCTTTAGTTCAACGGAAGACATGAGCAATTCCCCTTAACTGGGCAATTTTCTTTTTGTAGAGAATAGAAGAGATCATGAAAAGAACCAGGCGACGTGATACTGGAGACTCCAAGGTAACCATAGTAAACGTAAACTCCTCCCCCCCGCCCACACATAGTTTCCCTCCTAACTGAGCGTTTTGCCATACTGTTAGGGATGAGTTGGGTGGAATCTGCTGATGAGTACATCCCACTGCTCTGTGAGTCCCCCGTTTGTGTAATTGTTTTGATTCAGTCTCCAAAATATCCAATTTAGGGTCATAAAGTATGAGAGTTTTTACAGCACGGAAAAAGTCTCAATGAGTCCACAACGGTCATCAAACATCCATCTGTCCTAATCCCATTTTCCAGCACTTGGCCCGTAGCCTTGTATGCTGTGGTGTTTCAAATGTTCATCTAAATACTTCGAAAATGCCCTGAGGGTTCCTGCCACCACACCTTTTCAGGCAGTGAGTTCCAGATTACTAACACCCTCTGGGTGAAAAAATGTTTCCTCAAATCTCTTGTAAACCTTCTGCTCCTTACCTTCAACCTGTGCCCCTGGTTATTGACCGCTGTACTAAGGGGAAAGCTTTCTCCCCACCTACCCTGCCTATGCAGCTTAGAAATTTGTACAGCTCAATCAGATTCCCCTCAGCCTTCTCTGCTATAAGAAAAACAATTGCATCTATCTAATCTGTCTTCATAACTGAGGCAACATCCTGGTGTATCTCCTCTGCACCCTCCTAGTGCAATCACATCCTTCCTATTGTGCAGTGACCACAGAACTGCCTATAGTACTCCAGCTGTGACCTAACCAATGTTACTTACAGCTCCATTGTAACCTCCTTGCTCTTGTATTCAATGCCTTGACTAATAAAAGCAAGTATTCCATATACCTCCTTAACCACATTATCTACCTGTCCTGCTACCTTCAAGGATCTATGGACCTGCACACCCAGATCCCTCTAATCCTCTGTACTTCCTATGGTCCTACCATTTCATACTCCCTTACCTTGTTAGCCATCCTAACATGCATCAACTCACACCTTTCAGGATTAAATTCCATTTGCCACTTCTGCCATCTGACCAATCCATCTTTATTGTCCTGTATTCTCAGGCTTTCCTCCCCATTATTTAGCACAACATTACTTTTCATGTCATCTGTGAACTCATAGATCAAGCCTCCTAGCTTCATGCCTGGATCATTAATGCATACCGCAATCAATAAGGGACACACAGCATTGTACCCTGCGGTATTAACAAAAGGGAAAGTCACCAGCATCTCAGGGGGCTGCTTCCAATTTAGAGAGAGATGACCGTTAGTAAGTTTAACCTGAGGGTCACCACGCCTCAGGTGAGGGGAGGGATGGAGAAGGAGAGTCCTTTAATGGTTAACCTTAGCCACAGTGGGAATTGAACCCATGCTGTTGGTGTCACTGTATGTTACAGACCAGCCATCTGAGCTATTCAGCCCCCATTCTGTAGTGCAGCTTGCCAAATGGCTTTTGTACCTCTATCCGGAATAAAAGATTCTGTCCATGCTTGTTTAGATGAACACAGAATGATCCATTGATTGTAAAACAAAACTCATTCTTAAAAACAAGTGGCAAAACTGGATAGCATCTAGACTCCATAGTCTGGAATTGGAAATATATCCCCTTTCAATCCCGAATTAGACACACACACACAACGAAGATTCTGCAGAGATGATATTTTTAAAGGACAATAGAAAAGCCTTGTAGGCCGATGGTCTGGAAAACAAAAAGTGGAATTTGTTGAATCCTTGTTGACGAAATGGAACTGCTGACTGCTCTAAACCAGTGGAATATTTCCTAAACAAGCTTCAGTTCGGTTAGAATTCCAGCTGGTTCCAGGGCTTTAGAGAATGGTTGTGCTTCAGCTTTCCAGGGTTTACAAGATAACCAAAATACTGAGAGGTGGAAGCTTAATCAAAGTCTCAAGTACTTCGACCAAGAGAAGGACAGAGATACTCATAGCCTTTGGAGATTTGCTTCCTTGTATCTCCATAGGTTTGTGAAAACAGAAAACAATCCAGAAGGGTTGCTGGGCAACCATCAGCTTAGTGTCTTCCAAAGCCAATTTTTCCATCAATTAAGGACAGTAAACTGAGTATTTTATCTCCTTAAAAGCTTTGCTTGGCTTTGTTCCAAAGTCACATGACTTTCTCCCATAAGAAGGTGGATTACAGCTCACATTACACTGACCTCATTTCCAGGAAACCCATTTTATTCGAGAAGACAGTTCAATATCTTCAAGTTATTCGCATGAACAATAGCTAAAGATAGACTGTCGCAGCAATATTGTAATATGAGAATATGTGAATCAAGAATAGGAAGGCCAGGGACTGTTTGTCTGTGACACTGTCTCCACCCACATACAGAGTCACTCTGTGTTTCCAAGTAATACAGGAAATTGCACTGGGCAAGAAAGATATTCACATTAATTTATTTTAAAGCCTATATTAAGGTCGAGGCAACTCGATGTGGGCCCACATGTTCTGGAGTTGGAGACCCATCTTTACCAGCCACCTGAGCCCATCAGAGGCATCCGCTCCCCAACCCCCACCCCTTCCATTTGCCCATTTTGTTCATTTGTTGTTATTTTCTGAAGATTACTTAAAGCTTTGAAGAGCTTTTCCAAGTGTGTGCTTCCCGCGACACCATCTTTGAGACTGGCATTCGTCTGCTGTCGCTCACCAATGACATCAGCTTTTTCTCTGAGCGTGTGCAGTCTTTGCCCCACGTACAGTTGGGACGGAGATTGCAGAGATGCTGCAGTGTGACCCAGGCAGGCTGAGTGAGTGGGCAAATACAGTGGGCAGATGCGGTACAACGTGGGCAAATGTGAAGTTATCCACTTTGGGAGGGTGGACTATTATCTGAATGGAGACAGGTTGGGAAAGGGAGAGATGTTGTGAGAGCTGGGTGTCCTTGTACACATGTCACTGAAAGTAAGGTGCAGTAGATGGTGAAGAAGCTAACTGCTATTTGAGAGGATTTGAGTCCAGGAGCAGGGATGTCTTGCTTCATTTTTGCCAGGCCCTGGTGAAACCATACTGGAGTACTGTATGCAGCTTGGGTTTCCTTACCTGAGGAAGGATGTTCTGGCGATAGAGGGAGTGGAGCGAAAGTTTACCAGACTGATTCCTGGGATGGCAGGACTGGTGTATGAAGGGAGACTGGATTGGTTAGGATTATATTCACTGGAGTTCAGAAGAATGAAGGGGGCAATCTCATAAAATTCTCACAGGACTAGACAGGATAAATGCTGGGAGGATATTCCCGATTACCAGGACGTACAGAATTGGGGGACTCACAGTTTATTGATGCGGGGTAGACCATCAGAGCTGCCAAGAGGCGAGACCAAATGAAGCTGGAGACCCAGACAAACCACACGGACACCCATCGTTTGGGGCAAGGCTTACACAACGTAACGGGCTACAAAGTGAAGTTAAACAGAATCATGGGCAACATTACATCCTTACCCAACGAGCTCGATGTATTCCACACTCACTTTGAACAGAAGGTCAGTGAAATGATGTCACCTATCCCAGCAGCCCTGGACCCATGGTCACTGCCACTGACATTAGATCGGCCTCTTGACAGCAAACCCACAGGAAGTGACTGGCCCACATGGAGTCCCCAGCGTGCGCTCAGATTTTGTCCTTATGAAGTCCCCACCTGCTTCAAGAAGGCCACTGTCATTCTGGTGCCAAAAAAAAATCATGCCGCCTGCCTCAATGACAACCGCCCAGTGGCTCTGACATCTGTCATTATGAAGTGCTTTGAGAGGTTAGTCATTGCTCACATCAACTCCAGCCTCCCAGATTGCCTGGATCCACTACAGTTCGCCTACCATTCGGTCCACGACAGATGCCATCTCCCTGGCCCTACACTGAAACATCTGGATAACAAGGATACCTACATCGTGCTCCTACTTATGGACTACAGTTTCGAATTCAACACCATAATTCCAAACAAACTCATCTCCAAACCTAAGTCTTGATTCCCTCTCTATACCTGGACTTGTAGACCACAATAAGTAAAAATAGACGACAACACCTTCTCCACTACAATTGTAGACACTGGTGCCCAGCAGGGCTGCGTACTTAGGCCCCCCACTATACTCCGCATGCACGCACAAGTGTGTGGTCAAATTCCACCCCAGCTCCGTTTATAAGTTTGCTGACAGCACCACCATTGCAGGTCGGATCTCAAACAACAAAGAAGGAATACAGGAAAGCGATAGATGGCATGGTGTAAAAAAACTATAATCCCTTAATCAGCTTCTGCAAAACAAAGGAGCTGGTCATTGACGTCAGGAAGCAGAGTCTGTATCAGTTAGAGATGGTCAAGTTCCAGGGAGTGATGAACCTGTACTGGTCCACCCATGTTGACATGACAGTCAAGAAAACGCGTCAATGTCTCTACATCCTCAGGAGGCTAAGGAAATTCGGCATGTCCACAAGGTCTCTTACCACTTTTTGTAGATGCACCATAGAAAGCATTCGGATGCATCACAGAGTTGTTTGGCAACTTCTTTTCCCAAGACTGCAAGAAACTACAGAGAGTTGTGAACACAGTCCGTCACACAAACCAGCCTTCCATCCATTGACTCCATCTGTACGTCCCACTGCCTCAGGAAAGCAGCCAACATAACCAAAGACCCCTCCCACCCCAGTTATACTCTCTTCCACCGCCTTCTGTCGAGCAGAATATACAGATGTTTGAATACATGTACAATAGATTCAATAACAGCTTCTTCGCTGCTGTTATCAGACATTTGAACAAACATCTCAAATGTTCCCTCTCTCTCTCTCTCTCTGCACCATCTCTGTGGCTGTAAAACTGTACTCTGCAGTCTGTTCTGCTGCCCTGATGCACTTTGTATGGTGTGATCTGCCTGTATAGCATGCAAAACCACACTTTTCACTGTATCATAGTACGTGTGACAACAATAAATCAAATCGAATTTAGGACTGAGATGAGAAGAAATTTCTTCACCCCGAGAGTGGTGAACTTGTGGAATTCTCTGCCACAGAGAGCGGTTGAGGTCAAAACATTGAAGGTTTTAAGGAGGGAGATAGATATCGTTCTTGGGACTAAAGGGATCGAAAGTTACGGGGTGAAGGCGGGAACACGGTGTGAGTTGGATGATCGTATGGTGGAACACAGTTGAAAGGCCGAATGGCCTACTCCTGCTCCTATTTTCCGTTATAGGAATCCCAGGTTCTCCCAGTGCTCCTTTCCCCGGCTTTCCCCTCTTTGTGTCCAGTCATTGGTTCAATCCTGTTGAAGCAATGCGCAAGGTTCCTGCATTACAACAGGGACCACATTTCTAAAGTACTTTGTTGACTTGGGATGTCCTGAGGTTGTGCACGGCACTATATAACTACAGGTGATTTCTTTGTGTCTGTGTGTGTGTCTGTGTGTGTGTGTGTGTTTCTGTCTGCTGTGTTTAACGTTCTGACTGTTGCATTTTCCAGAAAGATGAAATCAAAGCAGAAATCCATCCTGCCGGGAACGAGGAGAAACAGCTTCAAACCCCAGTCTCTGTGGAAAAAGGTCGGCAATTTCTTCAGATTCGCAGGCCCCGCTGTTGTGCTAATTTTGAATGAAGCTGGTGGTAGGCAGCAGGATTCCCCCACATTTAGAGTGGCACGGTGGCACCATGGTTAGCACCGCTGCCTCACAGCACCAGGGACCCAGGTTTGATCCCCCCTCAGGCGACTGTCTGTGTGGAGTTTGCACATTCTCCCTGTGTCTGCATGCGTTTCCTCCGGGTGCTCCGGTTTCCTCCCTCAGTGCAGGCTAGGTAGATTAGTCATGGGAATTGCAGGGTTACAGGGAGGAATGTAGAGGGGTACGTCTGAGTGGGATGCTTTTCGGGGAGTTAGTCCGGACTCAATGGGCCAAATGGCCTGTTTCCACGCTGTAGGGACTCTATGATCCAAACCGATGTTGTGATACACAAGAGACCAGTGGACAGCATTGTCAGCTGAAGTCTGAGATGTCTGTGTAGAAAGTTACAATGCACATTGGTTTGTGTCACTTTTTAAACTGTTAATTGTTGGCCTATTGTTAATACAGGGAACATCCATCTCCAAATACACCTCATGTTTCTATTCACCAGTCAAATCCTATGCCTGCTAGGAATCTGAAAGAAAACCAGGAAATGCTAGAGAAACTCAGCAGGTCAGGCAGCATCTGTGGAGAGACAAGCAGAGTTAACATTTCAGCATGATTGTTCTCGGAACTTTGAATGGAAGTTCTGAACTTTTCTGGTCCTGTGTCCATTGGATGGGACCAGGTGCAAACCTCGGAAATCTCAAGGTGGACGAGCTCCCTGATCTGTTCCCGCTTCCGAGCGAGATTGAAACCTGCAAAATGTGCCAACATCTGGGCGATCGCAGAATTGTTACTGTGCAGTAGGAAGCCTTCTGCCCCGTTGCATCTGCACAAGCATTCTGAATTCACACTCTGATTTTGTGCCAATCTTCTGCCTTTTCCCCATATCGCTGCATGTCATCTCTAATCAAATAGCCATCCAATACCCTCCTGAATGCTTCAACTGAACCTGCAACCACCACATTTCCAGGAAGCACATTCCAGACCCTTCTCTTGCAAATGACCTTACATCTGTGCCCTCTGGTTCTTGATCCTTTTACAAGTGAGAACAGTTTCTCACTAGAGGCTCTGTCCAGTTCAGTCATAATTTTGTTAACTTCTATCAAATCTCCTCTTAGCCTTCTCCTCTCTAGGGAAAATAGACCCAACTTCTCCAATCTGTGCTCCTAACTGAAGTTTCTCATTCCTGGAACCATTTTTGGAAACTTCTTCTGCACTCTCTCTAATGCGTTTCTATCTTCCTATAATGTGGTGCCTGCAAGTGAGCACAATAGTCTGGCTAAGGTCTAAACAACATCCTGTATAAGTTCAACATCATCTCTCTGCTTTGGGACTCTCTGCTGCTATTGATAAAGCAAAGAGCACAGCGTGCTTTATTAACTACCTTTTCCACATGCCCTGCCTCTTCTAGTGATTGACAATATTGAGGAATATTCAGCTCATTAATGTTGTTTCCTCTTTGCTCTGATTGGCGTCAGCTTTGCTGACTGTTTCCATCATTTTGTGTTTTTTATTTCCACAACTCTTATTGTTGCATTTTGCAAATTGTTCCAATGTAGATGAGGATGATCTTGTCAGACACCAGGACTGTAGAAAAAAAAATCAGACAGTGAGTAATTTATGTGTTATATTTTGTCTCACTCTTAAAGGATAATTCTGTGTAATATTTTATTGGCTCTTTCCCAGGACTGTTTCTGTTGATGATCGCCCTGATTGCAAAGTCTCAAATTACAGCAGAGGAATGGTGGTGATTTATTCTCTGTTCCGCACTACACTCAGTTCCTAATTCTGGAGTCACTTTTCAGCCTCACTCGTCCTGCTAATGTGAGATTCTTAGCTGAATGTGAGGTTCTCAGGATTTAGAAACAATGAGACAGACCAGAATATGACAACAACTTCTTTCATAACGTCATAGACGTTTACAGTGTGGAAAGAGGTCCTTTGGCTCATCCATCTATTCTAATCCCATTTTCCAGCACCTGGCCCTTGTATGCTATGGTGTTTCAAATGCTCATCTAAATACTTCGAAAATGTCCTGAGGTTTCCTGCCACCACCTTTTCAGGCAGTGAGTTCCAGATTCCTACCACCCTCTGGGTGAAAAAAAATGTTTCTTCAATTTCCCTCTAAATGTCCTGCTCCTTACCTTAAACCTGTGCCCCTGGTTATTGACCCCTCTATTAAGGGAAAATGTTTCTCCCTATCTACCTGTCTATGCAGCTTAGAACTTTGTACTGCTCAATCAGATCTCTCTTAGCCTTCTCTACTCTAAGGAAAACAAACCCAGTCTATCTAGTCTCCCCTCATCGCTGAATCAGTCCATCTTGGTGAATCTCCTGTGCACCCTCTCCCAATGCAATCACATCCTTCCTACAGTGCAGTGACCAGAACTGTTAACATTTCAGAGGCCCGTTCAAAAGTATGATAACAGTGGGGAAGAAGCTGCTCTGGAATCTGTTTGTACATGCATTCAAACTTTTATACCTTCTGCCAGACAGACGAGAGTATAACCGGGGTCAGAGGGGTCTTTGATTATGATTGGTGGCTTTCCCGAAACCATTTCCACTCAGGAACCAGATTGAAGAGAATCAGCAAAAGAACTGAAGGTGGAGATGAGTTTTTTTTTTAACATGGTGAGTGTGTAGAAGAATGAGAGGAGACCTCATTGGAAAATACAAGATTCTCAGGGGACTTGACAGGGTAGATGCAGAAAAGGGGATGTTTCCTCTTCTGGGAGAGTCTAGGACCAGACGGCATAATCTCAGAATAAGGGGTCACACGTTGAAGTCAGAGATGAGGAGGAATTTCTTCTCATAGGGTAGTGAGTCTGTCGAATTCTTTACCACAGAGGGCCATAGAGGCTGGGACATTAAATATATTCAAGCCTGAGATAGACATATTTTTAATCATTAAAGGAATGGAGGATTATGGAGAAAATGCAGGAAAGTGGAAATGAGGATTATTGGATCAGCCATGACCTTATTGAATGGCAGAGCAGACTCGATGGACTGAATGGCCTAATTCTATTCCTATGCCTTATGGCCTACTGAATACCACTGTAGGGTAGGGTGGTGATGAGTGATGGGTAAAAGTGACAGAGGGCCCATGTTGAAATCTGTACCTGTTCCATTCTAGGTTTGGATGGAAAGCAGCAGGAGGAGGTACCCTGTGCTCAGGCTGAGGCTGAGATTGTGCCAGGGCTGGAGGTGGTCACTGGGAACGAGCAAACGGACAATGTGGATGAGCAACCAAACAGTGCAGACGAGTCGACAGACGAACCACAGTCCATGGATGTGAGGTAGGCCGAGCTATCAAACACTTACCTTCAGTCCAGGAGGGAACCACTGTAAATGGTGTGGGCGTGCATCGGAAATTTATTTCTGGAACTGATGTTCTCTGGTAATTTAATATAATAGCTTTCACTGATACCCATTGCCAAATCACTTCTCACATCCTGAGTACTCCAGGACCAGGAGCACCAAACCAAGGACTAAAGGTTTAAGTCCCAACTGTGGTGAAGTGAGGTTTTTTGTTTTCAAGAATGAGTTGGATACAGTTCTTAGAGCTAAAGTGATCAAAGGGTATGGGGAGAAAGCGGGAACTGGGGATTGATTGGATGGTCAGCTGTGATCATATTGAATGACAGAGCAGGCTTGAAGGGCTGAATGGCCTACTCCTGCTCCTATTTTCTATGTAACCTGTTGGTGACGCAAAGCACTCAGCGATGGTCCCAAGTTTCACCGCAGAGGTTGAGCTGCCATAAGGATAGATTTAAGTAGTTGGGGCTGTTCTCCACTAGAGAGTAGAAGGCTGAAAGAAGATTTGAGAGAGGGTTTCGAAGTCATGAGCGACCAGACACGGAAAAGCTGTTCCTGCTTTGTAAATGAAAGAACAAGAGGGCATAGATTTCAAGTGATGTGCCAATGCTTCCTCCAAACCTGGGTTTGATTCCACCCTCAAGTGATTAACCGTGTGGATTTTGCACATTCTCCTCGTGTCTGCGTGGGTTTCCACTAGGTGCTCTGGTTTCATTCCATAGTCTAAAGATTGTGCAGGTTAGGGTGGATTGGCCATGCTAAATTGTCCTGTAGTGCCAGAGATGTGCAGGCTAGGTGGGTTAGCCATGGGAAATGCAGGGTTACAGGGATAGGGTAGGGGGGTTGGGTCTGTGTGGGATGCTCTCCGGAGGGTTGGTGTGGACTCGATAGCCTGCTTCCACACGGTAGGGATTCTATGGTTCTTGGTTGTGTGAATGGATTGATTATTTTTTCTTTAGTGAACAAATAGATGTCGACCTTTCCGCGGAGAGGAAGATGCATTTGCTGCAGACAATGACAGTGTAGAATTTGAAAGGAGCTGTTAGGCATCAGGGCCAGTGAGACCCTTTCTCTCTGCTGCACGGCCAAGTGTAACGTCTTCATCAGGGTTTCGAGGGGAGCATCCCACATCAAAGCATTTTGCCAAGTGAAGGACATCTAGCTCATCACAAACAGACACAAACGCATGTACGCACACACGTACGTATGCACACACATGTACACACACACACGTACATACACACACACACACACATACATACATACACAAATGTGTACACGCGCGCACACATGCATACACACACACACACAGATGCACGCACAGACACAGAGTGAGAGATACTCAAAAACATGACACACTGTCCACTGTCTGACGCATCCCCTTCCAGCAATTATAGATCACACTCACTAATTGGCTCGAGCCTTCTCTAAACAAGCAGCAAATCAGTATTTTGTATTCATTGAGGGGGTATGGGCATCGCTGGTTGAGACAGCATTTATTGCCTGTCCCTAGTTGAGAAGGTGGTGGTGAGCTGTTCCAATGCGCTACAACACATCTCTGAAGAAGGTGAACCTAGGTCTTCCAGCTTAGATAGAGACCCTACCACTATGCCTCAAGAGACCTTTCACAACGTTGCGCTGTAGGTTGAGTGTACAAACCCATTTATACTGAATTCTTTTCTCTTGTATTGAACTCATGTCTGGAATGAAAACGAATTGTCAGGGATTATCCACATGGAGGAGACAGTGACCTGTCAAAGTGGGCTGCTCCATTTCATTTTGCCATATTTGTGTTTCTTAGCCCCATGTCAAAAGACGACGGCATCTCCATTCCTGAGTTCTCGCCGCTCAATGAGGTGAGCCACGTTGTTGAGCTGGAGGAGGAGCAGCAGAATGGACCAGCTGATGCTCAGGCTGTCGAGGACCTCATTGACCTGACCGTCCAGTCAACCTACACCCAGCTATCCTGTGACAAGATGACCTTGGATGACTGCAACAAGAACTTGATCGAAGAGCGATGCCTTTCAACGGAGAATCCTCTTATCACATCCCTGACTACATCTGTGGACGAAACCCATATACAACCATCTGCAGGTAACTTCTACCATTCCATTAGGAGTTGGGGTCATGTGGAATCTAAAGAGCAGAATTGGTTAATTCCTCAACTCAGTGTGGATGGTCACATAATCGACATTGTCATATGTCCCTGTTGGATGGGGTTTTGATTTTATTCATTTGTAGGACGTGGGCACGTAGGCTGGGCATTAATTGCTGTCCCTAATTTCCTGCACAAGGTAGTGGTGAGCTGAATAATTGAACCATTATAGTCCACGTGCTGTGGGTTGACCCACAATGCCCTTAGGGAGGGAATTCCAGCATTTTGACCCAGCGACAGTGAAGGAACAGCGATATACTTCCAAGTCAGGAGGGTGAGGGGAACTTGAAAGTTCTGGTGTTCTCATGTATCTGCTGCGCTTGTCCTTCTAGATGGTAGTGGTCATGGGTTTGGAAGGTGCTATAAGATATCAAAACAAACAGTCACAAGACTGCTGTAGGTACAGACAGTATGCCTATATCAGAACCCCTCCAAACAAAGGATTCCTGGATCCCAACTGTCCCAGAACCTGTAGACCAAGAAGTGATGACTTCTGTCACTAACCAGAGTGCGAGACAGCCACCATAGATACATGACTTTCCATGTAGGACCTTCGGCAGTGAAAGTCAACATTGGACTGATTGTCCTGACAGTCTCCTGTTTGGGTGTTAACGATTATCACACTGGGGACTACATAGTGTATAAGAGCCAAACACAGAAGTTGCTGGAAAAGCTCAGCAGGTCTGGCAGCATCTGTGAAGAGAAATCAGAGTTAATGTTTTGCGTCCAGTGACCCTTCCTCAGAGCTAAGGTAGAACTGAGCTCAGAAGTGTACAAGAGGATAGTGCATTGTAATCTGTCCAGTCCAGAATGCCTGGGATTGAGGCATCTCTGGATTATTGACTAACATTAGAATGTATCATGTGTTGTGTGAACAGGATCTAAGTATGTACTTTGGATATAACATAGTGGCACAACGTTGTAAAACAGTAATAAATGGTTTTATTTGTCCGAAGGAATCAAAGGTCAAGGGGAAAAGGCAGGAAAGTGGGGTTGAGCATGATCAGATTAGCCATGAATGGTGGAGCTGACTCGATGGGCTGAATGGCTTACTTCTGCTCCAGTGTCCTATGGCCTCAAATACTGCAGCTTCCATGTCACACCATACTAAAACAATGATAAAACGGGGACAGCTGGTTTAAGGTGACTCAGAATGTACATGGCCAGTAGTCCGCTATGGGCAGTGGGGTGGGGATGGGGGTGTTAATCATTTCCTAAATATTCATTACAAAAAGCTGAAAGCAGTTTTATTTTCCAGAAAGACTGGCATCGTACCATCACGGCAAAGACTTTTAGTTTGGATTCAGACCTGATTAGCTCTTTCTCCTTTCTCCATTGTCGTTTCTCTCTCATAAAGCCATGGAGTCATACAGCATGGAAACAGACCCTTCGGTCCAACCAGTCCATAATCCAAAACTAAACTAGTCCTACTTGCCTAAGCTTGGCTCATATCCCTCCTAACATTTCTAATTCATGTACTTACCCAAATGTCTTTTGAACATTGTAACTGTACCTACATCTACCACTTCCTCTGGAAGTTCATTTTATACACAAACCACTCTCTGTGTAAAAAAAAAATTGCCCAGACGTCTTTTTAAAATCTTTTTTCTTTCACCTTAAAAATATAACACCTAGCCTTGAAATGGAGAAGTCACCTGTCATTCACTCCTCATGATTTTATAAACATCTGTAAGGTCATACCTCCACCTCCTATGTTCCAGTGAAACAAATCCCAGTCTATCCAGCCTCTCCCTATAACCCAAACCCTCCATTCCCGGCAACATCCTGGTAAATCTCTTGTGAACCCTCTCCTGCTTGATAACATCCTTCCTAAAACAGGGTTACCAGAACTGGACACAGTATTCCAGAAGAGGCTTCACCAGTGTCTTGAACAACCTCAAAATGACATCCCAATTCCGGTACTCAAAAGTCTGAGCAATGAAGGCAAGTGTGCTAAACACCTTCTTAAGCACGCTGTCTATGTGTGATGCAAACTTCAAAGAATTATGTACCTGAACCCCTAGGTCTCTCTGTTCTACAACATCATTCAAGGCGTTACTTTTAATTGTATAAATCCTGAACTTGTTTGTTTTACCAAAAACCTCTCCTGCAGGCTTCTAAGTAAAACTGTCAATGCCTGGTAATCTGACCTTCAGTCAGAGCAGAGACCTTAGAACCACATTCACTGTCATGTGGTGTTCGGCCCTGCAACTAGAGAGAGCTGCACGGGCCCACTCAAAGAATATTCCAGACAATGGAGGTTTCCAGATTTTGGATTTCTGGACTGGAGAGTTTCAGTGAATCAGATTGTTCTATTGCCCCATGTAGGGGCCTAATACAGATACTCCAGCATGTTGCCCTTTCATGGGGCATTGTGGGAGATCAGCATGACATTGTTTACATGGAAGCACAATTTTGAGCATCAGGAACCATTGGACACTCTGTATAAGCCTCCTCATTGAACCTAATCAATGATCATGAGGTGTAGTCTTCATGTGCAGTGTGAATCAGAGCTAGTTTATAACTGGCCACCGCAATCTCCAGAGATGGTCGATAAATGCCACTCAAACCAGCAAAGCCCAACACCTTTGTCCAATAAATAATAGAATCCTTACAAATGGGGAAGAAGGTCATTTGGCACATCGAGTCCACATTGACCCTCCAAAAAGCATCCTACCCAGACCCACTTCCCCACTTCATTCCTGTAACCCCACATTTCCCATGGCTAATCCATTTAGCCTGTGCATTCCTGAACACTACGGGGCAATTTAGCATGGCCAACCCACCTAACCTGCACATCTTTGGACTGTGGGAGGAAACCAGAGCACCCAGCGGAAATGGGGAGAATGTGCAAATTCCACATACTCGGCACGAGGTGGAATCGAACCAGGGTCTCTGGCGTGGTGAGGCAGCAGTGCTAACCACTGAACAGCCCACGCCACAAATAATGAAATTCATTTGCCTCTGGTTCCTCTCCCTCTCTAATGTAACACCCAGATTCTCTGGATGAACTGTTTTCATAACCTCAGTCCTATGACCCTCTGTAACTGCCTGCATTATGGGAACATCCCTCGTTTCCCCCTCACCCTCCACTCGGCTCACCTGCACAAGAGTATTCTCCCCTCACCCCACCTGAATTATTGCAATGTACGGGGTAGGGGGATTGATAAGGGTGAGAGGGGTCAGGCGTATGGAGCAGAGTGAGAGAGAAGGGGTGCAGTGTCTAGGATACAGTGTCCAGTAGCAGGGTATAAGGATGAGGTAAGGGGAGCAGTGCTCTGGTACAAGGGCTAATATTGTGAGGCAAGGGGGGCAATTTCAGAGGTATGGGGTGGTGTAGAATGAAGGGAAAGGGTGCTGTGTCAGCAAAAATGAGGAGTGAGGATGGGGGAGAGTTGGCAGTGTGGGTGATATGAGGGAAAGGGTGAGGGGAGATTGCAGAATGTGGCTTTATGAGGGACAGGGTCAGTGTGGGTATATGGGCTGGTCAGTGTGAGTATAATGAGGGGTGGTCAGTGTGGGTATATGAGGGATGGGGTCAGTGTGGGTATATGGGGTAGTCAGTGTGGGTATAATGGGGGTGGTCAGTGTGGGTACATGAGGGACGGGGTCAGTGTGGGTATATGGGGTGGTCAGTGTGGGTATATGAGGGGCAGAGTCAGTGTGGATATATGAGGGACAGGGTCATTGTGGGTATATGGCAGGGGTCAATATGAGTATATGAGGGCGTGTCAGTGTGGGTATATGGCGGGGTCAATGTGGGTATATGAGGGAGGTTCAGTGTGGGTATATGAGGGGCAGGGGCAGTATGGGTATTTGAGGTACAGCGTCAGTGTGGGTATATGGGGTGTGGTCAGTGTGGGTATATGAAGGGGTCAGTGTGGGTATAAAGGGGGGTGGTCAGTGTTGGTATATGAGGAACGGGGTCAGTGTGGGTATATGGGATGTCAGTGTGCGTATATGGGGTGGTCATTGTGGGTATATGGGGGGATTAGTGTGGGTATACAAGGGTGTCAGTGTGGGTATATGGGGGAGGTCAGTGTGGGTATATGAGCGGGGGTCAGTGTGGGTATGTGAGGGGGGTGTTCAGTGTGGGTATATGAGGGCTGAGAGCTGTACTTCAGAGCTGCCAGCTCCATTATAGCACTCCGCCAGTCTAGAAACTGGAGACCTTAAAAGTCAAATCTTCAGACTGTGATGATACCGGTGGGGGGCGACATGGCTTCATTTACTCGGCTGCCTGATTTAAGTTGGTGTCAGGGCTGGGGTCATGAGATACGGATAGCTCTGTTCGTTCATTATCCATACAGGAATGGAAATTGTACCCAAAGCTCCAGCTCTGGTCTCTAAAACCACTGCACAACAAGGATCTTATTCAAAAACATGTTGCAAGATGCTGACTTGCTGTGTTCCTCTAGCTCCACACTGTGTTGCAGCAATCCTGCATGGTCGCCCCATAACTTAAAGGTCACTGCCTTATTGGGAGCTTTTGTTTCTGTAATATCAATCTGGTATCTCCGTGTTATTAGCATTGCCTCTGTCATCCCCAGGTGAAAATTCTTAAAAATACCATGTTAACGGAATATCAACAGGGGGAAGGAAATATTTTCTCTGATGCGGAATCCAGAACAGTTGATAGAAAAGTGGTGAGGTTAGGGAGGGGTGTCGGGGGAAGAGATCTGAAAATTAGCCATTTAGGAGTGAAATCAGGATGGACCTTTGCACACGTTACGGGCCAGACCAGACCTTCTCAAAATATATTAAGAAGGTAGCCTAGACTCTAACTTCTTCTTACTTTAAATATAAATGTGAGGTGCTGTGTTCCAGATGCAATTCAATTGGTCATACTACTTGACGTTAAGAAAATTTATTCAAACACTGTTCTTAAAATACAACAAAAGAAAGAAGAACTTGGAATAACTTAACTCTATTGTAAAACTTAACAGATTAATATGTTGTTTTACTACTAAACAGTAACTGTTGCCAGTAATAGTAACATCCCATAAACACACCTTTGGCAAAAGGCAAATTTAGAAAACAGATTGTCTCACACGCAACTCTAGCAGCCCAGGAGGAAAACATCCAGAAAAAACTGAGAGGGAGTAGCAGCCAGGAGAGATTCACTGCCTTCCAACCCTTCTGAGACCCAGGCACCAACTGCTGCCGAATAAACTAAAAGTCCTGGTTCTGTGAGAGCTCAACCTCACCCATTCAGGCTGCTTCTATTGTTCCAAGGCCTCACAAGCTGTTTACTCAAGTGGTTTTGGTAGACTGTTCTACACCTCTGCCTTAAAACCTCTCCTCAAAAAAAACAAGAACAAAGTAACCTTTTAAAGCCACAACTATCCAGAGAAGGCTCTTTCCCATGAAGCTATGACTGTAGATGCTGGGGTGTCAATTCAAGACCAGCATTGCTAAGATTTTTGTTGTGTAAGCCAATCAAGAAGTGGAATTGATGTGCAGAAGATTAGCTAGGATCTGATTGAATGGTTGGATAGGCTCGAGGGGCTGAATAGCCTCATCTTCATTCTGCGTTTTCATTGGATGTTAATCTGAAGTATGCGGATTTGAATGAATTTTAATAGGAAGGAACATTTCTTAATTTTTTATATCTTTTCAGGACAAAGCAATCACATCTCTTTTCTCCAGATACGGTGCAGAAATGTTATTGTATCCTCAAAGCTGACAAAGTTACATTTGTCCTTTCCTAGAGTTCTGAACACATAGATGCAGGGGCGCAAAAGACTTGGCTTCAATCCGTCCAGCAGTACTATGATTTTGAAGACTGCGCTACTTTAAGAAGATTCATGTAGCCTTCATAGATATCGTGGTATAACTAACAGTGATCCTTCAAGCAGCAGTTCAAATCATCCATTTAAATGCAAGTCTGTCTTTTTTACACATGTAATTCTGCAAATCTTCTCCCTGGCCAGAGCGGTCAGCAAGAGCAACAAACCGAAGTATCATTCATCCTGCAATTAAATAACCACTATAGAAGCTCACTCACATTTACTGTGTTAATAATTTATAGTAATCCCTCCATCATGGTGAACTATTATCCACACTGTTAAGATCAATGTGAATCTCGACGATATTTACTTCGCTTCTGCTGGCTTCTCAAATTTTCTCTTCTAAAAAGAAAAGGAAGTTGATATTGAAACTGAGTGAGTGAATTTCCCTGGAGAGGTACTGGTTTAATTGCACTATGTATGAATCTTGCAGTGATGCACAGTATGGATTAGGGGACATTGTAATGTGTTTTAGAAAACTCAGGTATTCTTTCATGGTTACTGAATGTTCATTTTGAAGCAGATGTTAAAAATGTTTTATTATGATTCTCAAAGCATTTATTGCATCATATTTAATTATTGTTTTTATAAATTAATTGTTTTCATATCTGAAAACCGGAACCTCCTGATTTTTATGGTAAAATGGAATTGTGAAATTCTTGCCATCTTTAATTGCCAGAATAGTATTGAGTGCAGTGTTATATTTGGTTTATTGCTATCAACAGACTTTTGAGATCAAACATCCTTAAAATATGACAATATCGTGCCTCTAAAGAAAGTACCACATTAACCAAAAGCACCTTTTGCTGCAATTTATCACGTGGAAATGTTTTATTTTGTAAAGGTTAGCCATCAGTTGTGAGGAATCAGACTTTGCAAGCCTGCATTTAAAGATTGGCTACACACCCTGACCCTATGTACTGAAGGGATATATATCGTCAATGTGCGTGGAGATTTCTCTCAAAGTGTAACATGCCTTGCAGTTTTTGTGTCATTACTTAAAATACCAAGTTTCCCTTGCATCTCAAAACCAGCTCCAGGTTTAATCTGCAGACGGGAGGAATAAATGCTACTGTACTGATGGAAAATATTGACATTAGTGGAAATAATTTCACAAAGGCTTGCAATCTTTACATAATTTTCAGTTGCATCTCACCACTGCAACGAGCTTTGCAAAATGGCAAATACAGTCAAATATAAAACAATGCAAAAGGATGTCTTTGCAAGAGCTCTCATTTCCTTAAGCATTGTGCTTTGAAAGTAACTTACATGATTACTGGTAAAGACAACAGTTGGGACACTTTGCACTGTCTGTGGTTCAAGCAGCTTGTACCAACCCAAAGGGAATGACAGTCGAGTTAAAATACACCCGGCATCAATTGGACTGTATAATAAATGATGCAGGTTTGTTAATCCAGTAATGTATTCTTGAATGGTAATCAATCCTCATGGATGTAAATTAAGTTACCAACACCCCAAAGTGTCCAGAAATTAATCTCCTTGGCATGACTGTGAGCAAACGTCAAATTATGGGGATGTGTCAAATCTTGTGGCTCCTCCTTCGTTCTTTTTGGAACCATCCGTGACAGAAACGTTAGAAATGTGGAATAGACGGTTTGACTCAAGCAGCTTGAAGCAACAGGGCTACCAGAGTCGACAACGCGAGGTCCAAAACCTTCAGTCAAAGCAGTTCGACAACCCCAGGAAAGTACCTCACCTCCCTCACATTGGTTTCCACTGGAGAGGTTATACTTGTGTGTTGAAATCACAGCGACTGGCAGTCTCACTATTTGGTTGTGGGTAAGCTCCCAGGTCCTCTCCGTTCTTTCCTTGCATTCTCTCTGTGTCTGCGTGGGTTTCCTCTGGGTGCTCCGGTTTCCTCCCACAGTCCAAAGATGTGCAGGTTAGGGTGGATTGGCCATGCTAAATTTCTCCTAGTGTCCAGGGGTGTGTAAGTTAGGTGGATTAGACATGGGAAATGCAGGGTTACAGGGAAAAGGGTAGGGAGTTGGGTCTGGGTGGGATGCTCTTCAGAGGGGCGGTGTACAACTTGTTGGGCCGAATGGCCTGTTTCCACGCTAGGGATTCACTTTTTGCTGCAAAATCTGTGTGATGACGGTTATAGAATCCCTACAGTGTGGAAGCAGACCATTCAGCCCATTGATTCCACACCAACCCTCCAACGAGCATCCCGCCCAGATCCACCCACTACCCTGTAACCCTGCATTTCCCTTGATTAACCTGCCTAGCCTGCACATCCCCAGACACTACAGGCAATTTAGCCTGACCGATCCACCTAATCTGCACATTTTGGGACTGTGGGAGGAAACCCACGCAGACACAGGGAGAATGTGCAAACTCCACACAGACAGTCACTGGAGGCTGGAATCGAACCCAGGTCCCTGGTGCTGTGAGGCAGCAGTACTAACCACTGAGCCACCGTCAATCAAAAGCAAGCAATCCAGCAGAGTTGATGAAGGAAACGAAAAGGATCAAACATAAACACTTCCAGATGAGGTAGAGAGTGGAAAAGAGTTTGCCCAGTTCAGGTTTTGTCCTTGATGGCAGTACAGGGTGTAGATACCTTGTGGGAGGGCTTGGCCAGCCACCTAGACCAGCCAGGGCCCCTTGGAATGACCATGTGCTCCACAGTATTCAGACATTCCCATTGTGTTGGCCTATTGCTGAAAAATCCTTCGTCCACCTAAAAGCAGTGTGCTTCTTGTGGGACGTCTTAACCACATATGTGGTCAAATCTGTAACACTGGCTTAACCTCTCACAAAATAGCTGCCCATCAGCTTCTGTAGGGTAGGAGATCCTGTATTACACAGTGTTCAGTAGAGCAGTGACTAACCACTAAACTGCTAATTATGTGTGTGGTGTGCACACACACAGATTCTTGTCTCATTGCACTAAGTTGATCCATTCTGTTGATGGATTGTCAACAAGTGAGGCTTGCATGCCACATTCAAGATTGTACAAAAGATCTAATTTCACGATGTCACAATGTGTACCACTTTCGCTGAACATTAATAACTCCATTATAAATGTAGCTGGTGTACAATAGCTTGTGTAGTTTGCTGATGTGCTGAAGTCTCCTGTCATAATGCACAGCATGTGTGTACATGAAATGCATCAATAAATTTTTATTCAAAACACTTCCAAACACTTGTCCAGTGAAATCATTGCATTTAAACAAAAGGAGGAAGCTATGACTGAAGAACTTATATTTACTCAATAAAACAAGGACTCAGTGCACAAAAGCAGGGAGGAGATAGAATGGTGGAGAAAGATCCTTTGCTGTCACCTCAGTTAGCGCAACAGTTAATACAGTTGACATTTTCAACAAGTCAACAGCTCTGTTTCTTCTCATTCACTCTTTGGATGTGGACATTGTTGGCAAAGCCATTACAATTGTCCAAAATGAAAACAGCAGTAGACTGTCTTCTTGAAACATTCAAGTCCATGTAGCTAGATAAAAGTATCACACAACTCAATAAGGAAGGCAAGCGATTATATGCCCAAATTTAGAATGGTGTGTGATTTGGGAGGAGAATTTGGAACTGGTGGTTTTTTTATTCGTTCATGGGCTCAGAGTGTTGCTGAATGGGCCAGCATTTCTTGTCTGTCCCTGGTTGCACTTGAGAACGTAGTGGTGGTGAGCTGCCTTCTTGAACCACTGCAGGCCCTATGCTGTAAGTTGACCCATAATGTGGGAGGGAGGGAGTTTCAGGATTTTAACCCAGTGACTGTGAAGGAATGGTGATATATTTCCAATTCAGGATGGTGAGTGGCTTGGAGGGGATCTTGAAGGTGATGGTGTTCTCATGTGTCTGCTGTCCTTGTCCTTCTAGATGGAAGTGTTTGTGGGTATGAAAGGTGCTGTCTAAAGATCTTTGGTGAATTTCTGCAGCACATTTTGCAGATGATACAAACTGCTGCTTACTGAGCATCATTGGTAGATGTTTGTGGGTGTAGTGCCAATCAAGTGGGCTGCTTTGGCCTGGATGGTGTCAAGCTTCTTGAGTGCTGTTGGAACTTCACCCTTGCAGGAAAGTGGGGAGTGTTCCATCACACTCCTGACTTGTGACTTGTAAATGGTGGACAGGCTTTGGGGAGTCAGGAAGTGAGTTACTTGCTGCAGGATTCCTACCCTTGACCTGGTCTTGTAGCCAATGTATTTATGTGGAGAGTCCAGTAGAGTTTTTGCTCAGTGATAACCCCAGAATGTTAATGGTAAGAGATGGAATGCCATTGGACTTCAAGAGAAGTTGTTCAGGTTTTGTCTTGTGGCAGGTGGTCATTGCCTGGTACTTGTATGGCACAAATGTAAATTATTACTTAACTGGTGAGTGAATGTTGCCCTGATCTTGCTGCATGCAGAAATGGACTGTTTCACGGATGGTCACTTAGGTCAGATGGGAGTAACTGGATGGAATTGCGTTAGTGTAAATGGATCCGAACATAAGACCATGTCTCCAAGAGTGAAGAGAAAAGACTTGTATTTATATAGAGACAAAAATAGAAATTGCTGGAAAAGCTCAGCAGGTCTGGCAACAAGTGTGGAGAGAAATCAGAGTTTACTTTTCGGGTCGAGTGAGGAAGGGTCACTTGACCCGAAACATTAACTCTGATTTCTCTCCACACT